ACTGACTCTCTCTTACACCTTGTGTCTGGGAGCGTGACGGCTCTGTTGTTCGGCGCAGTGTCCTGTGTCACATCGGTCTTCGCAGCACATTGCCAAATATTCTCTTGCAATTCCTCACCTCTCAGCAGGCCTCCTACCCCTGCTGACACACACCATCTCGTTCCAGACCAGGGCTCAGTGTGTCCACGCCATGTACACAGAGCACAGTATGATCTAACGCCTGGCATGTGACCCATCCGGCACCACACAGTAGGTGCTAGTCAAACAACTTTTCCACCAGACTGTTCCAAACTTTTAGGGCCTTGGTTATAAGAAAAATCACAAACAAAAGGAAGACCAAGATTGAGAGTTTGGATGAAAGTGGCAGTATGTTCTGATGTGTCCCTCAGTGTGGCCTGTTCAGCAGAGTCCACGTGACTCTACCTGCCATCACTCAAACAGAGAGACACAGACAGAAGAGAGAGAATCACATCATTATTATCACCTACAGGGATAAACAGCATGTGACCTTTCTCTTTCTCACCCCATCCCTTTTCCCCACTGCCCCCCTCCTCACTTTCACTCCCTGCGTGCTCCCTCACCCTGCCACCTTCATCTCTGCTCCTCTCATCTTTCCCTCCTCCTGCTCCTTCCTCACTCCTCACCACCACCGAGTGCATAGTGATCATATCTGGCGTTTCATCGGCTCTTTGCACTTCTCGCCTCTATTAAGATTGATGGGCTGCTTGGCTATAAATGTGCACGCTGCGATTCGGACAGGGCTGTGGTCAGGCAAGGGCCACATCCACACAAATACACACACTCACATGCACCTTTCTATTCGCAGCAAAATGTGGGAGCTGCGGCCCAGGAAGGGCACTGTTTTTGTTACATGGAAGCATACACAGAGAAGACATACACATACAAATGCACCTACACATGATGACACGACCCTGTCAGTCACCTCCAGCAGCGTCTCCTGTGGATCAGTAACTGTTGTTGCTGTTGACCAGTAGTCGGATGTCTTAGACCCGGTGCTCAAATCAAAGACACACAATCAGCAATGCAATTTCATGCTGTAAGTGTGTATTTTATTAAGAAAAGAATATCTGATGTCCATAAATTGCAACAAATATAGTGTTTTAAATGTGTGCAAGAGAATTTAGTCCTAATAATACACAAGTGCACATTAGGTGTACAAGGCAAAGGGAAAACCCATTCACCATCATGTGACGCTTCTGCACTCGTGACAATGAACCACTGAATTAGTGATTCAGATTGTTTGTTCAAAATATTACACCCTTTTGAATTTTATTTGAATGAAGACCATCCTGTTCTATATAAACACCCTAAATCCTTGGCCAGACGTCCTATATTTGGTTATGTGTCGGCCAGAGGGCTCAGAGCCACAGAGCAACAACTGACTCGTTTCCAAGTCAAGACTTCGCAGATCCTCTTCTTTCTTTTTGGCTCGACACTCACTCTTTCAGACCCGAGTGTCTCACATAAGCACAAAGTGTTACATACTGACTATATGGTGTACATGTGTATTCAGATGAGCCTGTGTGCTTTTGTGTATCTTTATATTCCTGCAGAACTGGAGAGGGACTCATTGAAATTGTGCTCATGTCTTGTTAGTTGACATGGAAAGATTACAGGAAAATATTGTGTCTTGACACTTTCCTCATAGATCAGAGTTCATGGGGTGTCTTGGGGTGGGGGGCTGAGAAACATGCCCTGTGGAGCGGACCGTAAATCATCTTAGCAGGGGCAGATCTGATGACAGTGATTTATCAGCTGAAAAGGACACCCTAAGCTTCAGGTTCTTGCAACTGTCATCAAATACCCACTAGGCCATTAACAGGTCATGCAGGCATCGTTCAGCTGAGCATGCAAAATCATCAGAACACCCACCCTCGCCTTGTCACCGGCTGAAGCCTGTCGGAGCACAGGTGCACTTCTTGGAACAGCAGCAGAAGAACCACTTTGCCCCAGTATTCAGCCCTCTCCTTCCCTCTCAGTAAATATGCAGCTTCTTGACAAACAACTCTGCATTCTCCACAAACAAATCTTTACTGAAATTGAGTCAAATATTTAAGGTTTCATTATGAAATTACAGTTTGGGAAACCTCTAGAAGGTCTGTCTTCCAGAAACTTAAGGCTTTTCCTTCAGTTCAACAAAGGTTCAGCTAAGCCGCCATTTGTAATTCTAATACGCTGCTCATTAGATAAAAACAGACTTCTTTTTTGTCTCTGATGGCTGCATGTTTCTTTGCCAAACCTTATTTTTTGCTCCGGGGAACATTCTTGTCACTGCCCAATATAACCTCACCTGTGGACTCCCCACTCTTTATGCTTGGTCACGTTGGTCAGGCCACAACTCCCCTCTGAGCATGCTCAACCACGTGGTCACGTTGTTGGCCCGTATGTTAATGCTCACTTCAATCACACAGGATGCTAAAACCACACAACTGGCCTCTATACATATGTTAGCTTCTGTTGAATGCTGAGGGAAGAAAGGGAGCGGCTGTAGAGGAACGATATACTAAATAGCTTTGTTCCACTTTTGCCAAGACACTGTTTGAGAATGCCACAAACCCTCATGAAAAACATTTTGTCAGTGCAGATGAGCAGTCAGCTAGTTGCTTTATTCCCTGTGCTTTTGTTCCTTACAGCTCTTATTTCATGTAATTCACACTTATTTCATCCAGTTTGTTAAAAGATGACACTATTTTGGCACTATTTTGACTCAAAGTCCCCTATGTACAGTATGATCATTTAAAAAAGAGGAATGCACATGTGTGTATATATGTGTGTACAGTTGTGTGATTAACATATACAGTACAATTATCATTTATAAGCCTAAAGGACCAGTAGAATATTCCTTCTGTCATTCATGGTTCACATTCCCAGTGTATTTCTATATTAATACACCTCAGCTGGAATCGGTACATACACATGTAGACACTCTAGAGTGAAGACTGATATGTCTCAACTTTGGTGTGATGTCTTTGAGCTTTGGGAATATTCAGTGTCAGGATGAGATGCTTCAGCAGTGCGGCTAAGTGTGTATTTATGTGTGGCTAATGTTAACAGAAGGGGTGTGACAAGATCTTATTCCACGAGATCCTAGGATAGTAAAATGTGACAATATTTATTGTGGAGGTGAAAAGCTGTCCCGCGATATCAGTACATAACAGAACCAGAGCAGGCCAATTTCAATATTTTTGCTTCTAACTCCATACACAATGCCTAGAATGCCTGCCCAAAATTTGCAAAATATCATCCTCATTAGATCTACAACACACCAAAGTATGATCTAAGTAATATTCTGGGTCTGGTGATCTATAATGTTCAAATTTATAGGGCTCATGGAAAACTGGCTCCTGTGAGACAACACGCAATGCTACAGGCTTTCAGCTAAGATCATATAGTATTCTAGCTGAAACTCTGCTGATTGACTAGGGGGTCAACAGATCTGATGTATCGTCAAAAGTTACTGAGCTACATTCTGGAGAAAACTGCCATTAGTAAAATATTGTTTTTGTCGAATAACTTTAAAACTACTAACGATATCAACGTGGTTCCATGGTCAAGGAGTCATATAATGAGGGTCAAACCTTTATGGGAATATTGCTTTTAGGTGGAATGGCATTATGAGCTCCCGTGGCCTAGGTTTGCTCTTTCTGAGTGGTTTTAAATAAAAGTACTTTCATTCTGGAATTTCCTTGAAGTGTCCAGAGCAACTGATAAAGACAACAAACAATCTACAACCCTCACAAATCATGAGCAGTCACTCACACACACTGCTCCTGTTGCCTCCTCTTCCCTCCTCCTCCTCCTCCGTATAGCGTGACAGATCTATCACGTCGGCACCTGGTCTTACACAAGTGTCAACGTCCCCACCTCACTCGAGAATCACTAGACCACTGACACCATGCAGAAGTGAGCATGTGTGAATAAATCTGTGTGTGTGTACCAGTGATGTTCTGCAGGTTTAAACCCATATCTTTCTGCCCTAAATCAGAACTCTTTAGCTACGTTTTTAAAGGGAGTGACAGGGTGAGTGAAATTGAGCTAGTATTACGTGTAAATGTGCACGTTTCTGTCTGCATTTGCTGTGTGTGTGTGGTAGACGCACCAGGCAGGGGTTTTGGCCTCTGTCACTCAGAGGCAACAAGCCAATCATTCCGTGGTTCTAAAATAAGATCTCCTCCCCTCCTTCTGTCCTCGTTCCACTCACATGTGCTCCTCTCGTCAGCACCTATCATCTTCAGTGACAGGAGACAACTGAGGGGGGACAGAGGAGCTAAGGGGGAGATGGGTGACGGAAGGAGGGAGTTTGCAAACTTTGACATGAATATTGTCAAAGTTGTAAAAGTAATTGTCAAAGTAAGTAATGATTGAGCTTTGTAGGCTCATAGGTGCAGTACAAACCGTATCCCTCTTGTCCAGTCAGGGTATAGTGTACACATTAAACAGCCTCCTTAAAAGTGCAGTTAGTGCCTTTGCACTTTCCTAATTGTATTTGGAGTTTGTTCTTGGATCCAGTTACCGATTCAACTGTAGTTTTGAAAAGCATTTTACTGCATTGTGGTTGTCTTTTGTTTTATTTCATTAATGCTTTTCTAGATTTACTGCTGACAAAACCCCTTAAACCATTTCTAAGTATTAGAATAGCTGTAGTGTGTAGAGCTTTTCTTGTTATTGCTTTAAAAATTGATTTTGTGTGTGAGGTACAGAAGAGATAGTCTTGGTTTCTTGGAGACTTTGGTTAGTGCACGTACAAAGCTGCAGTGATAGTTAATACCTTTCAGTGCTTTTTAGCAGAGTATTATGAAGTTGGAGAAACTGGGGTCAGTTCTCAAGGAACCTTGAGAGTGTGAGGTCACACATTCATGAACAAGTCAAACGTCTCACACACACACAAATAAACAACATTGACAATAAAATACACGAGTGCAAATACATCAACAAACATTTTTTGATTTCACAAGGAAATACTGTATTGTGATTGCTTTAGTAAAAAATGTGTAAAGAAAACACACAGTCTCACAGTTCCATTACTATACCATCTGAATTCAATTAAATTAGTAACATACTGATTACATATAAACATTGTGACATGAATAGATACATTTTTATTGGCTCAAAAAGGTCAAAGAACATATTAATGTCCTTGGCCAAAAGGCGTGCTGCTATAAAGTGAGAGATTCAGGGCTGGCATATGGGATTCAGTCTAAAGAGCAGGAGCAGGTGCATCTGGGTGTTTAAGTGCGAAGGGTCACGAAGCCCTTTATATAGACATCTCACCTCCTATCCACCTTTCCCTGGCCGTAGTCAGAGTCATCACATGCAGTTATGTCTGTGTTATACAAGCTCCGCTTCAACCTGACATACAAACAGCTGCATCAAGTAAACATCTGTCAAACCAGATGTAGAATATGTGGATCAAGTCTGTCATCCATTACTCTTCCTTAGCTTTAGCCGCATCAGTCCTGACCTAGTTCATGGTTTCTTATGGCCATCGTGCCATCATGTACATATTTGACAGGTCCCTGCTGTTGCATGTAAAGGTTTATTTTAGTCCGAGTGGTAAAAAGGCAAGGCTGTAATGCATGTTGCTAGGTGGCCTTGAGTAGGGTATATGTTAATCCAAAGACTTCATCAAGGACACCACTAGACATGTAATGAGCAGGAATTTAACTGACCAAAGAAATGTTGTCAGTATATTCCTGAAGACAGTGTAGAATGCTGTGTGAGTATGATAGTCACTGCTTCAGGGCCTCCTGCCAGGGCTTGAAGTGTTTGCTTTGAGTGCCTGGGCCAGCCCAGTTTCTGCCCAGTTCATATTCGGGTCCAGTTGATTCAGTGGATTACACTGCCTCGACTCCTTTTCCAAAGCCACAGGGCATTTCTTCCCTTAGTGACCACTGCATGTCATAGAAAACATGCTTAAAAGATAAGAAAGTAGCCTTGACAGGTTCTTTATGTTCACAGAAGCAACAATGGCTTGATCTGTCACTCTTCTCGGTTTGTCCACAGCTCAGCTCAATGCTTATTCATCATACAGATGATTAATTAGTAAACATTTGAAACTTAAAGCAACTTACACCCATTCCAGGATATTGTTTTGTTTTCTTGACAACCCCAGATGCCTGGAGTCAAATTCACCCCATGTGGGCAGTGACCTGTGAGCCTGCGCCTCCCGGCTGTGTACCTGCCAGTCCTAAAGTCCGAGAGTCAAACAAGAAGCCCTGTTGTCCCCCACTGAGCATGCCCAGACTGTCCGTTAGAGTCCCACTTGGAGACGAGCCAAGGAAAGTGCTCTGATGATTGGCAGTAGCAGCGGCGGCCATTTTATCAGGGCTGGCTGCGAGGCGTGGTGAGGGCGGGAATGTGTAACTGTACAGGCTGTAGGGTGGTGTGTGGAGGCGAAGACTGGCATAACCCTGCGGTGTAGGGTTGGATAAATAGCCAAGTTGAGAAGCAGGAAGAGGCAGGGAGCAGAATCCTTCACCTTCATATGCTGATGGACCTCTGGGAGGGGGGAACGGCTCTGGGGGTTTGCTGTAACGATGGAGGGGGTGTGTAGGTCGGCTGCAGGTGTAGTCAGGAGAGCTGAGAGGGCAAACTTGGAAAGGTGAGGAGCATGGGGAGGTGGGGAGCAGGTGAGGCGATGATCCAACCCCTCCATGTGCTCCTGGGACTCCTGCAGAAACAAGGCCAGAAAAACAGAAAAATGAAACCAACACTGTTTCCACTTTTTCCAGAAAGCCTTTATGAAAAATCAAATGCACTGGTTCCAATGCCTAAAATGACAAGGAATCTACATAATGAGTACTTTTGGTATTTTTTGCAGTGTTTTGATAACAGTACTTTCATATTCATTTTGAATGTGGGACAGAGTATTTTCACACTAATGTATTGCTACTTCGACTTAATTAAGGCATCTGAATACTTCTTCCACTGCTGATGTCATGCACGCTGGATGGGCTGACTTGTTCTCAGTCGGAGTAATTACCTTGCTTGGCCATACCAGGGATGTCTTCAAATGTGAGTGTTCGCAGAGATGGACGCCAAAATGCATAAGACTCAGCCAAAGCTTCCAGACCCATCCTGCAGAATACACAAATGCTTTACAGGCAGATCATCACAAACGCATTTGGAGCAGAACTTCCTAGTCTCACACTTTCTGTAGTCAATGAGGAATCTGCAGTCAACCCTCTCCAAGCACACATCACTGGGTCATATATTACAGCAACCACCTGGTGGCCATCTTGGTCATCCTTGGGGCTTCGCACACTGTCACCATGCGGACTGCAGGTAATGAGGGGCATAAAAGCCACATCGCCATTGGCTGCCGCCAGCCGGATGCTCGCAGGTAATTGCTTGCACACGGTTTTTACGGGCGAATACGAAGGAGCAGGAAGCCACATCAAGGATTTATGAGGTGGGACTCCCATTCCCCCCAAAACTGTGTCTCCCTCCTCCTCTAGGTGGTGCAGAGGGCTGCTGTGTAATGCAAGTGCTCTGTTACCCCTCGTTAGCGTGAGGATAAAAGTCCTCCTCCCCACAGGGCTGTAGCCGCGGTGATAATTTAGACAAGCTGCCCGTAGCGGTCCTGGGTGCTCTGAAGCAGCCTATCAGAGCAGGCGTTTATTTAGCAAACTGCTTAACTCTTCCTGTAATATTTAAAGGAAGTTTTTTTCCCCCGGGTTTAACTTTTATAGGGTTCGCTGTCAGGGTCCTTTGGTTGTATAGTTTTCCGTACTTTACCGTCCTCCCTCTCAAATCTTCTGTCTCACACTTCCCTCTCCTCCTCTCTCTCCTGCTCTCCCCCTTCCTCTCCCCTCCTCTGTAATGATTTCTGTGAGGCCTCAAGGGAGTGGCTGTTCTGGGACTGCTGGAGTTGAACTGCTGTGTTGTTTTAATGCTTTGTATATATGTTTAGAAATGTGTTTTTACAGATTTTCTTCAGGACACTCTTGACTTTTACTATTTTACTGTTGATGTTTATGTTCCTGAGGCTGGCAGGAATCTGACGCTCCATTTAGGTTTGCAGCTGAGGTTAGAGTTTTCCTTCGCAAAGCATGTGATTGTAACAATGCAGTTGTAGAATTTATGTGCCTTTAAATTTAGCACATTTACATGAAAATGCATCACTGGTTAATATGATGAAACCTTAATAATATGTGCCACCGCTCTTAAGTTTAGTCCATTTCTTTTCTGCCATTTAGGACAAATTTAATGGGAGGCAGTTGCACATTTTCCATTAAGGGAAAAAAAATTCCTAGTTTTTCTCCCCATAAAATCAGACTGAAATAGCCATGACAAAATGCACAGTCAAGCCAGAATATAATGCAGTCATCCATCCCACATTACCCCTAATTCACTAGATAAGGTGAAAATCTCTGTGGTTGAAATGAACTCACCGGTTTCTGCCAGAGTCTCTGAAGCCTTTGGCAAATGGGTTTCTGTCAATTTTCAGCCTTGTAATCTGAAAGGCAATATGACACTCTAATTACTTTTCAAAATCAGTTATTACAAAGTCCATGAAAATGTACACTATATAATGAGACTTTTGCCCAGCCAAAATACTTTTATTTCTCTGTAATCTTTCAGTCAAATCTATAAAAACATATATGTACAGAGTATTGCTGTAGATTGTGCTGTTTGTATGTGATGAAGAGATGTGGATGTATGTGCTTGTGTTTCTTCTGGCACATACTGTAATGTATATGTGAATGTGTTGATGTGTGTGCATGTATGCATAGAACTGCCCAAGCTGTGGGTGGTGTTTAAAGGCCCAGCTCAGTGACCCACAACCTAAAGGGACGTTTACAGGCCTCTCCACTATGTTCTGACTCCGGCCATGATGTCCTGCGTTCCAGCCAACCCCCTCTAACATCCAACTGCTCCAGTGCAAAAATCCAGAAAACAGCAGCCTTCCCTTGCTGAAGACGTTGGCTTTGAGATTTTGTGGGCAACATCCAGAAAATATCAAATATAAAGTAACAATATTTAAGTGCTTGAAAAAATAAACTGTCATTTTTAATTATCAGTCCGAGAAGGCCTTTCCTCAGTAGAACCGGTTAAATGTTCTTTAGGTAAAACACAGGACCTTTCTCACAACTGCTCTCTCAGCCTTGCAACACACACGCCTATACACATGCACTCAGACCCATAAATTAAAAAACACTCCAGTGTAACCTGCCAATATATTTTAAACCTTTATCTGACATCTCTAGCTGGTAACCCCAAACAAAACAGAGCTACAAAACAAATAAAAACATCTGTCAGCAACAGACCTGTCAGTGTAGAAGTTGCTTTTGACTCTTGGCCACATTGGCTATTTCAGTGTGTTTGGTTCATCCAGTGCTGTTGGTTTTAAGAAGAAATGTGCAGGCCAGCTGTGCTGCTCTACCTGTTGGTTCTGATACGCCGTGACAGTGGTGAACACAGTCTCGGGGAAGGAGAAGGTTCGGGTGCCCTCTCCAACAGGGATGGCTCTCACAGGTGATAACTCCTCTCCACACTCCTTAGGGATTACGTGGACCCGTGGTTGGTACTTGTGCATAGAGTGAAGAATGATCTGATCAGGGAGAGCAAAACGGTTAAATTAAATGACATGCTATTCACATAAGTAGAGACAACACACAAATAAACACAAACATTTTATTTGTCAGAGACTCCCACTTAATGGGGAAACATCCTGCCTGCTTGTAACAATATCAAAATTGTTATTTTTCTTTATTTAAATATTGTACTCTTGTACTTACTTATAATAAAAAAAACATATTTTTATTGCCTTGTAGAATTGGGCTTTTTCATGACAATGTTTATACAATATTAAATTAAAATATTACATTAGGGATGAAATGTCATTGAAAAGGCCACATAGAAATAGTTTTGTTTTATTTTTTGCTTGTGGCACTTACATGTCCCTGGTCATCAAGCTCGTTGTTGGTCAGTTTAAGTTTGTCGAAGCTGACCACCTGACGCATCCACGTCTCTCCTGATGCCGGGGAGTCCGGGTGGATGTAAACTCTGGGCGGCACTGGGGAGTCAGCATTCCCCGCTACCATCCACTTGGAACTGTGGTAAACATACCTTCACAATTCCCACACAAATGGTGGTAAATCAACACCTGTGTCTGCATTTGTGTCGTTCTGCTGTATAGCCCACTTCATATTCAAAACGTGATATAGCACGGAAAACAAGAAATAATCACAAGTAACTGATATGGAGACATTTTAGAATCTGACCATTAGTCAGGGAACCTACTTAAAACAGTTTCATCAGTGTTGTCATTATTATTCAACTCCGATTTGTTTGGTCTGTTCTCATGTGAATGCAGTTGACCTATTTGATCTTTATATACTAAAGGAAAGCATATGGATACTACTTCTTTTAATAAATGGGCTAAAACACATTTTTCTTTTGTGCCACACTGTTTAAAAGAGCGGCAGCCAAATTGAATGTAGGCTTTGACTTTTAAGTCTTAAGCGCTCCTAATTATTTAGCCACAAATATGTTTTGGTATTTGGGTATATTATAGTATGTAGCCTGTGTCATAAAGAAACGGTTCCTCATGTGGTTGAAGGTGCTTTATTGAACCTGTTGTTAAGCGTTTGGTTGGAATAAAAACGCGCATTCTGTTTCCTCCACGGCGTTTTGTGTCTGCTGTGAGCACAAAAGGTTGACTGACTGTGCCACATGCGGTGTCTTGTCAGACTCAGAGTGACTTAATAACCTGTCCTCTATATCACTCACACTGGCAACAAGCCGCTAAAAACGTGCTCATACTTAGACTAAACGAGTTTGGGAGCTTTGAAATGATGGAACTGCTGCGCATAACAGGTAAACACGCGCTGTTTTCTTCTGCGCTATAACGATGCTTGTTAGTTTGACCTTCTAGGGTGGAGAGGTTCCTTCCACAGGGGCTTATCCAGAAGGGATAACCGCCGTGCACACACCGGTGCCAAGTGCCATTTGTGGAGACGGAACTGGAGTTGCACCAGTGAAAAATCTCGGCCTGTATGGAATCTAAATTAAGACATGCGACCAAAAATGACTGTGGCTCAATATTCCCATTTCTACAGGACATGTGTTAGTCACAGACAGGCTGCAGCCCAACCGAACATCACTTTGATATTTAGGTCATCACACATTTTACTCTCTTTTGTCAGACGTTATTTTTACATTGACAAAATCATTACAAAAATTACCACTGGTATGCATTGGGGAGTATGAGTGTGCGTACGCGTGCGTGCATTTGTCAGCTTTTACCTGTATCTTTTGTTGTCCACGGAGATAATATCCATGGCAATGTAATACTGCTGGTGTGGGTCCAAGCCCGTAATCTTCACACGCATAGCGGGGAACATCCGCCTGTCAGGGAAACCAGATGATCCAAATAATCATCTGCCCTGGAAAGTTCAGCTAAACTGCATAAACCTGACAGCAACAACAATAATAATGCTTCGACTGTCCTCTTGGTTAAGGATGTTAGTTCTCTGAGTCATTATCTTATTGTTAATTCTGATCTCGGCTGCCCACTGCTTCAAAGCCCCTATTACCACTTTTATCTCATTGTTTAATTTTTTATACCCAATGTTTCATGCACGTTTTTATTACAGATATATGTTTTCCCCAAATATATTTTATGGTTATTCGTCGAATTTGATTTCTTTGTTTGTTTGTCTGGCACCTCCCAACATTAGGCCAGTCCGAAGACGGTCTTACCGTCCAGCCTTGGTGATAATCATTTCCGTGCCAATCTCGTGGAACCGTTTCCACAGGTCTGATCCCTGCAGGTCCACGCGTGTCTCCTCTCTGGTGCACAAAGCTGCGGGCTGCGGGCTCTGGAGCAGCGTGTCCTCGCTCTCTGCTGTACAGGAAAGAAGCGATATCGACACATTTTAAAACCCAAATCATCCATTCCTAATAAGAAAACACGTCTTTAACACAATCACTTCTCAGGCCTCATCTCCACGAAGTGTACTACTGATTGTCCTACTATACTGCGACTTATTATTTCAGGAGGACACAATTCATTAAAGTCACTCACGAATCATGGAATTCGGGTCTTTTTAAATGTCGGTCACTTATTACTGGAAATACCGTAGTATAGTGTAGTAAAATGTCTTTACTCATTCCTGAACATCAGTTTATGTCCCAAGAACTGTGTAATGATTTTCATGATGGAGTATTTGAATTTAAATACATTTTAATAAGGAGGACATGTTCAGAGGACACGCCAGTAATGATGGTAAAGTGCTGCGCCGTTGTTGTTATTTGCGCTAAAGGCCTCGCCAGGTGATGGGCCTAACCATCTAAAGTAAGACAAAGACACATTCTCAGCCAAGTGCAGTGTTTATGATTGCAAAACAGCTCACGTTGGTCCCACTCACACCACTCATATTTACTAAACCAGGGCCGTGATATGATATATGACATCACGCTCTTTGTCCCACTGAGTGTCTGTGACCAATTTATCACGATGCAAAGAACTGCTTTATATGAGAAAGACATTTAAGCCAGTAGGTAGAAGTAGGTTTCATTTTTCCCCTTCAAACAGCCTAATAAGTGAACAAATGTGCACGGCCCATTGGTGAACGGCTGAATCATTTGCAGTGATGCCTTCAAAACAAAACCCGCCTCCAATGAGAAAGTATAGGCCATATGGTTTAATCATTATTTTCAACATTATCTACTACTAATTTGGTATTTTGCCATTTCAATAGCCCGTCCGTATCATTATTGTTGTTATTATGAGGAGAAGGAGGAGGAGACTAGTAGTAGTAGCCTATATTTGTTATTATCGTATTATTTGTTGTTGTTCACTTACGGGATCCGTCATTTGCGCACTCCGCCTCCCTGGTGCACGGTCTATTGGTCCGCGGCCCCGGGGTCCCGGTTAGGTCAGAGATATCAGTTGTGTCCACGTAGCCGGAGGGCACAGCATCTTCTCCGGCTGTTCTGCGCCGTTTCTGGGCCCCGATCAACACCTCTACCGAGAATGCATGCGCCTTGACGCTCAGTGAACACGGGGATCTCCGCTTCTCTGCCATTTCTCTCGGTCTCTGGACAGAGGATCGAGAGGAAGGAGACGGCGTCGCGAGCTTGCAGGAAGCAAGGAAAGTTCAAATCACTCACAGTCTCAAAATAAAAGAATCCACGATGACAGTTCCAGTACTCTGGGTGCGGCGGTGCGTCCAGCCGGACAGCAGAGGAGACGGAGGGAGCCGGAGGAGCTGTGGTCTAATAATGTCTCCGTTATCCATGAGATCCGTGTGGACTTTTGGAGAGTGTCACCAACCCGAGCTTAGATGGGAGTCGGAGAAGGGGACCTGTCAGTCATGGCACAGAGCAACCAATCACGAGTCATCACAGCCCCCCGGAACTTTTTCCTGGTCCCGCCCGCCGTGGGGGCCTTTCGTGCCGCCTTATGTGGTAAAAGCCGAGCTAGTGAGTGAAACCTGATGCATGGGAAGGAGAGCGAGGAGTCCATCTGCGGCACTGCGCACCGGCCCGACATGTGTGGAGTATGTGGCCATTAGTAGCCTAGGTCCTGCACGGTGTGGCTAGCCCCCACTTTACAACATCTACAAGTTTCACCTAAGAATGACGTCAAATAACTCGATGCGTTACAGCATCCAGAATAAGTATGGTCAAGCTGCTGGCATTTTGCAGGATACATGCTCACTGGGCCTTATGAAATGTTCAAATTTATATTTCCTTTTTTTGTGCACTCAAAAAGCACCCTAAAAATCTCAGTTCTGTATTACGTCTATAAAACGAGTTTATGCGTCTTTCAAGTTTTGCAAACGGTGTCACCTATGTCCCATATATAATACACGAGCAACCCCATATATATTTATGTATATAAAGCCATGCTTCATGACCATAAGGTGTTTTTATTAAACTTTAAGAAACAGTTTCACACGACAGCGGGGACAATGTTGCTGACAATGTCTCCACTTTAACGCACAAACAAATTCCAGTCTTTGTTTCACAGCAACACAACTGACAATGGTTCATGTGTCATCGCTTGACGGGTTGTAGGCCCAAAAGGCACTAAATTCAAACTGTAGTATACTGGGGGCTATTAGTTACAACGCTTTAGGTAAATGCAATAACAAATATAGGCTTAAATAAAATAAATACCGTTGTGTGCGCTGGCAGATGGTTTAACTAACCTGCTAATTTATCTCTTAACAACCTGTTTTTCAAAGCTGAATGGAATAATTGCATTTGACTGTGCCTATATGAAGTGACATTGTTTATCCTACATTAGAAATGAATCTTTTAAAAGTTTCCTTGTTGCTTCGGTGATATTTCCTGCGCTAAATCACTGTAAAGTTCAAGGCTTCCGGTCGTTTATTGGTTAATTAAACAACATGTCGTCGTTATTTATTGGTTTAAATTCAGTGTAAGTGACTGAACAACAAGGTCAGTGACCAAATCCGTGTGGTTTTTTTAGAACAAATCCCGTGCGCGCTCAAAAACATCTATCTTAACCTCGTGAGAATGAAAAAGGCTGCGCGCTGCTGGAAATAGTTTAGTTTCGACTCCACGTGACTAATATGGTAGAAACTGCCTTTAAACTTTTACAAGTAAAATATTTGCTCTTAGATGTGTACAATTAAAATATAGCAGATGGTCAAAAGACAGGTTTAGTAACATTAGAGATGTGTTTGATTAAATGTAACCCAATTCTGTACAGTCAGCATAAAACCTAACCTGCTTTCATAGCTTTTAAAAATATTTTGGACAGCTATATAAAATAATAAAAATAGGACAAAAGTTGTTTTGTAAGCAACATTTTGATTTTAAAATTTAGAACTTTAAAACAAGTAATTATTGTATTGATTATGGTTAATGAAGTATAAATAAGAACATGTGGAAAATTTGCTGGAACTTTGCTGGAAAACGCGCAATAGCTCACAAGAGTTACATATAATAATAATCATTATTATTATACGTAATATAATACTTATTATTTTACATATTATATCGTTACTATTAGGTGATATACAATAATTATATATGATTTAATCAACATGAAGCTCTCGGGGCCTTTAGCAGTTTGGATAAAAGGTTCCTACATTAGAGACCAAGGAAACTGTGAGTTGGCTCAGCTCCACATGAACCTGTTTCAATCAGTCCCCAAGGAAAAGTGATGTTTCATGCTACTTTGTACATGCGTTTATTAAAAAAAAATCATATTGTCATAATTATATTTTTTGTTTTTAACGTTTTACGTATTTTTCGTTAGCAGGTGCGCAGCTCCGTGCACCTTAGAGATGTCACCTGCCGTGAATAAGATTTATTTTAAGATTAAGATTGGTAAAGAAAATTAAATCAACTTGCTAAAACTTGTTAAACTTCTTAACATCACGTGTGGTTTTCATCGCCCCTCACGTGATCCAACATTTAGAAACACAGTAGCTTGTGTAGGCCAAGATGACCGGAAAGCGTTTTCTTTGTGGTCAGGTTATGATTCCAGGGCTTCCTCTGTAGTCGATTTGGCTCTAAATAAATAGTGGGAAGCTTTTTTTTTATAATTATTTCTTCAAGGCTGTGTTTGGAAAACCCTCAGTAGCCTACTGCGGTGTGTCAGTGTGTCACCTGAACCTGACTGGATAAACAATTTGAAAATCTTTGAAAAACAGGATTAACATGCATCGTTTATCCTGTACGGATTTTTTAAAACAAGTATGAATTCCAAGTTGCCCACGTTGGCCTCCTTTTCCAAACATAAAACCGAACCGTTGCGGCACTGTGACTGACTCGGTCTGTCGCTTTATGGCTTTAAACAAAGCACCAATCTGTGCGCTGTAGAGCAGGAACTGGAAAATAACCAACTTTTTAATTATATTTACTGAGGTTAATACTAACGATACACAACATTTTTTGTAATTTTGTCAAGCAATAGATAACCCTAAAGCGGAAGTAAGCGGCCACCAGGTGAGAGAATACCTGGTGCGTATGGCCAGCACCGTTTATACAGGCACCGTTTTAAAAATACGGTTTGTCACTCTGAAGACGTAACCCACTGCGCACTGAATAGAGTGTTTACTAAAAACCTTTGACATAATTAGCTGTCAGCTTTGAAGGGAAGGGGGACAGGGCAGAAGTGGAGGAGTAGGAGAGTCTGGGTAATACATTGATAACAGTTATTTAACGCGCGCTAATGGGCAAGTGGATCACTGCCAGGGCTTTTATGGAGGAAGTGGCATGAGCTGAGGGGAAGGTGTGTGCACACGCGCGCGCGTGGCATGCATGTGCGTGCATGAGAGAGCCCGAGGAAGAAAAGAGAAAAGACAGGGTATGGTTATATGTTATGTTTTAAAGGTTTCAAGAGTCATCCCTTTCCACTGCACTTTTGATCTTTGCTGAGGAAGGGGTGGTTTAGTAGGGACAGAGTCACTTGTCATCCAGGTGTAGTGACCCCTGCTCTTGTTCATAAAGTTAATGTTCCACTGAAAATGTGGAGCATTACTGATGTGCTTGATAGAAATGAATGGATCTATGACATTTGTTGATTTATTTTAATTTATTATTTTATTTTATTTTTTTGTACGGGCCCGTTCTGGTTTTGATGCAGTTTATTCAGGCCTCTGTGTGGCTCGGATGTTATTCATGTTGAACTCCTGCTGCAATAGCTTATCTCTATACACACAGAGAGACACAATTCTCAGTTACAGGCCGCAGCTGCTAGACTGCTGTGGGATTTGTCTTTTGATTCACAGATCAACAATACATGGCACAGCTAAGCCAGGTTCTCACTACATACCCTCTCACATCTTTATTTTGATGAGACTAAACTGAAACACATTTAGGATGAGTCTGTCACTGTCTAGAAATAGTTTTTAAATTAGTTTTATCAATAAAATAAAATAAAGCATAGAACTACTAGGTGGGTAAGAGAGCTGGAAGTCAAACCTGACATAAAACTGTGGAGAAATGGTAACAGCATTAGTCTGCATGCAGGCCTTTAATCCAACACATTGAAAGTAATTTACAAAAACATTTCTGGGACACTTTCCTTATAAAATCACCCTCCTTTATTTTTTATACCACAGCCACCGTGTGTCAGAGACAGTAATGTTTATGAGAGACAAGTAAGTTAACCTGCTGCACTGGAGCGGTCTGCCACAGTGTTGCATAAGGGCTTGATATCTGGAAGCACTGACATACTGAACATCCTCAGAAGTTCTACTTTAACTGTATCAGGTCTTTGTTCTTGGCTGGCAGTTCCTTACAGTTGAAATATAGTGATCATGCTTGTCTGGGTCTGAGGGCAGGCCAATTAGGAGAAGCAACATGTTTATTTGTCTATGCTATATGTATGCATTTTTACATTTTCTAATAGTCAAACGCACTATTGTGGAGATTTGCTGTAAGATAGTGTGAGGAACGTGACATTTCACTGGACCTGTTGGAGTTAAAGACTGATTTTGTGTTTTTGATGAATGTGTTTTTATGAATAGACATTATTTTGATATTTTGGGTTTAAAATGGCCACAAGCACACGTTGCCTATTCTACACCTGATTTACACTTGTGGAGTATAAACCTGATTGAACTTGACAGGTTCGAACCCAACTCTTGAGCAAGGCACCAAACCTCCAACCACTTTAAGATGCTTTGGATGAGAAGGGGCTAAAGTGTAAGTGTAATATGCTTTATGCTGTTTCATAGTAACAAAACCCTTCTTTGATCTGACACTTTTACTATAAGTTAATGTTTAACACTTTGATAGGTGCCTTAGCAACAATAAGACTTGGCCTGCTTCATGTCCTGGGAGACCATTTTCTATTAATGACTGATAAAATCCATCAGCAGGTTTTGTGCATGCACACACAATATATATGTACACATCTGTGCTGGCTGGTCTATATGTGTATGTGCAGATCTAGCTGCAGTGATACAGCCTAGGGGCAAAATGTGTTTTTGATACAGAGTCTCTTCCTCTCCCGGCATGCCTCTAATACGCTCCCTCTTCCCAGGATAACAGGGTCACAGCATGGAGACCTCGACGACTCCACACCTGGAATAACACCACCCAGAATATCAGCTCGTGGTATGGTGTGTGTGTGTGAGAGAGAGAGAGAGAAATAGGAAAAAGTGCAGAGTGAGAGAGACTTTATGAATGGCAGAAAGTGGGTTGTGTGGTGCAGTCAAGACATCTATCTCACTAGTTTCTTTCTCTCTTTCTTTGACACATACTCAGTTCAGCACTGTGGTGATGTTTGTGATGGCCTGTTTTGCAGTAGAGAAAATATGAAACACCCTAAGGCATTTGTCAGCGATCAGTTGCATGCTCTTGCTCTTTCCTCATGCTGGTGTGTGTGTGTGTGTGTGTGTGTGTGTGTGTGTGTGTGTGTTCCCTTAACACATTTC